GAAGCAGCGTCTAGCTACACTGCAAACAACAGGTATAATAAACGCTCGTAATAAGCAACGTTAACAAATATAGAAAAGCTTAAAAACTACTTGCTCTGAGTTTTGGGTGGGAGCAGTTGGAAGACAGTGACTTACATGAGGGAGAGGAACGCGAGTAGCTGACATGTACGCATTGCTAACCCTGATTGGTACTTCTGGCAGATCTGATGTCACCTATGCCAAATTAATTATTATAATAATTATAATATTAAATGAAAAGACAAAAACAGTAGAGATGAGTATTTTCTAAAAGCTCTTAACAGAAAAGAACCTTTACTCTGTGCAGCATTGTGGCCAGCAATCCCTAAGGAGAAGAATAGTTGTTTCAATCTCTCTCTTTAAAATGCCTGACGTCCAGGTTAGATTACTGTAACGCTCTGCTTTCTGGGTGTTCCAGCCAAAACCTTAACAAGCTTCAGTTAGTCCAGAACGCTGCAGCCAGAGTTCTCAGCAAAACCAGGAAATTTGACCACATTAGCCCAATTTTGTGTACCTTACATTGGTTGCCAGTTAAGTTCCACATTACAAAATTCTACAAAATTCTTCTACTGACGTATAAAGCTCTGAATGGCCTTGCTCCTCAGTACCTCAGTGACCTTATTTCCTATTATCAACCGACACGCCCACTTAGATCACAAGGTGCTGCTCATTATTAGAACCCAGAATAAATAAAGTTACGTAAGGGGGAGGAGCCTTTTCATACAACGCCCCCCAGCTTTGGAATAGCCTACCAATCTGTGTTCGGGACTCAGACACAGCCTCCATCTTTAAGTCTAGGCTAAAAACCTACCTGTTTAGTCGAGCCTTTGGTTAATTTGTTTTCCTAACTTTGTTCCTCTTACCCCCCCCTCCCCCTCTCTTTCCCTGAGCTGAGCGGCTGCCTGTCCTAAGAGGGTCTGACCTGAGATGCGGCCGGCGCGCTGCACAGTGGTGTTAAACTGTATCCACTTATACTGTTTTGTGTCTGTGCTGTTATCCAGTGTCGACCAGAGGAGGATGGGTTCCCCTTTTGAGTCTGGTTCCTCTCGAGGTTTCTTCCTCCTGTTGAGGGAGTTTTTTCTTGCCACTGTCGCCAAGGCTTGCTCACTGGGGGCGTGGACCCAGATTCTCTGTAAAGCTGCTTTGTGACAACATCTGTTGTAAAAGGCGCTATATAAATAAATTTGACTTGACTTGACTGACTTTGTTTTGGACTTCAGAACCACTGACTTGAGACTCAACCTCTATTTGGAAATAAACAAGTGGACTGGTAGCACATCTAGGCTTGGCTCTTTAACATATGCTAAACCATGTTGTGGCACTGCGAGGGGACAGCTGTATGCCTCTCTGCAGCCTGTATTTAGTTTAAATCTAACGTGTTTAACTCTCTGGGGTCTGTCTTATCGTGAGATCATACATGATCACATCCAGAGTAATGAGGCTATGAAGAGGGGTTAAGAAACACACAATCTGCCTCTCACCGTGTGTAATTGGTGGATTCGTGTGTCCGCCAGAAATCCTTCATTCTTCATTCAGTCCACATCAGAGACACGTGTGAAACAGCGTGCAGAGAGTTTACAGCTTCTCAAGCTGCTGCAGCGGTTTTGGAAAGTAGTGATGAAGATAACAGAGTATTGCGATATGAAATATATGAGGATCATGTTACATGAAGAGCCTTTAAAGAAGAATTTAAGCAGATAGAAAAAAATTCAGAAAACACCCTCAGACCCCAGGAGTTACTGTTGTTTGTTACGTTTAGGTTGTGTACACCTTGTTTGGGTTTAACTGTGTTGTTTTGCAGTGTTACAGTGTGATGGCAGTGTCTACCCTCTTTGTGTCATGTTATTCTGTTGGTGGCCCTCCCCAGTCTTCCCCTCTGTGAGTTAGTCGCTTTTCCTGAAGCAGAAAATGACACGTTTGGTTCTTCTTCTGTGCCGATGCCACAGTATTCTACTGCAAATCCAGTCCTCTCAGCAAAGAATGGTGTAGTAAATATCTGCATCACATTAGACACGCTATACTCCATTACCCAGTGTGCAGGCTCACAGGCTGCTCTCCAATGCTGTGCCATGTTTTCCGTTAGCAGTGAGCTCGTTTTTGATTTCAATTTTTAACTTTTTATTAATTTTTTTATTTATTTATTTTTTTTTATAAGTGACTAAAAGAACTTTGCCTGTCTATGACAATGTTAGCCTGGCTGCCAAAGCGCAAAGACATACCAAAAAGGGGACCAAAAACAAGTGCTTACTACCAGCCAGCCTGTTTTCACTGAACTGTGCCTACGCAATACTGCCTTCATCATTCTTTAGCCACATGCGACCTCTTGTGGCCAATCTTAGGCTCACAGCTAAGAATCACTAGTACTGTGCCTTCTAGAATTACTGGAAATGCATTAAAAATACATACAAGCTTTGAAGTACATTGTGTCAGATCTTTCAAAAAATAAAGTTCTTGTTTTGCTGTCATCTTTGAAGTGAGAATAACCTTTGTCTGCCTCTAAATGCCATTCCAGTGGCAGAGAACAATTATACTAACCTGTAATACCTTAGCATGTTTTTCTCTCACCCTCTCAACACTCTGACCAATCAATGAGCAAGAACACCAGTTATTAGCTCTAGTCCCAGCTGCATGTACATGCAACTCCATGTGGTTAGCATGCAGACAACCTTTTCTACTTTCAATAAATAATGCATCATGTTTTAGAAACTAGTGAAAATGCACCAGCCATGTCATAGTACTTATATTTTGACAAAATCTATTGTTTTGATTTTTACATTATGTACAAAGACATATGTAAAAGACATAAACCAGGGTTTTTCAGTCCTGGTTCTCGAGATCTACCACCCTGCAGAGTCTAACTCTAATCCTTATCTGACTGACTTGATTAATGTGAGGAAGCCTTCAGCTGCATCTGAATATTATGTGGATCCAATATTAGTTGGATCTGAACTCTTCAGGGTAAAAGATCTCTAGGACCAGGACTGAGCAACGCTGACAAAAAATTTATCCCAGATCCCAAAATTCTCGCTCTGAGAAGTTTGATAAATATGGAACCCCTTTAGATTTTAGGAGCCATTCAGGCAGAATTAGAATAATTCCACTTTTTCCAACACAAATGTTTGCAAATTCTCAAGAAATCTAATGCTCAATATATATGAACATTTGATCAAATTTGATACACTGAAAAGAGAAAGATTAGTTTGTCAAGACTAGTCAGGACATGAATGCACTAATGTGGTTCTAAAATATAAAAATGTTTTTAGTTGAACTAAGCCCCAAATCCCTGCTTATTATGACCACCTCCTTGTTTCTACGCTCATTGTCCATTTTATCAGTTCTACTTACTATATAGGTGCACTGTGTAGTTAGAAGGGGAATTAGGCAGGTACTATTTGTGTGGTGGATCATTCTCAGCACTGCAGTAACACTGACGTGGTGGTGTGTTAGTGTGTGTTGTGCTGGTCTGAGTGAATCAGACACAGCAGTGCTGCTGGAGTTTTTAAACACTGTGTCCACTCACTGTCCACTCTATTAGACACTCCTACCTTGTCAGTCCACCTTGTAGATGTAAAGTCAGAGACGATAGCTCATCTGCTGCTGCACAGTTTGTGTTGGTCATCCTGTAGTCATTCATCAGTGGTCACAGGACACTTTGGTTGGTGGACTATTCTCAGTCCAGCAGTGACAATGAGCGTAGAAACAAGGTCATAATGTTATGCCTGATCGGTGTATATATAGTCATCATCAACTGTTTTAAATGCCTATAGTCTGGACCACCTTTTTCTTCCTGAGTTGCTAATCCGTGATGTCGACTATAGAACCAGAGGTGATAGCGTGTTTTAAGCCTTTTAAACAGACTTTACTTTTGTATCATATGCTGTTTGTTTTGTTGACATTGGTAGATACAGAGTGATGTTTGGATGATAGAAGCTGTTCTTTGTTAGATTTTTGATTAAACTGCATGCTTTTGTGAAATTTGGTTGAACTTTTTATTTCATATGTAAAAGATACCTCAACCTCCAACAGCTAACCCATATGAAAAAAAACAAAATGTATTCCTCACACTTAACATTTTAGGACATTTTCACACATTTTCAAATGTTTTTGATAAATATATTCATTTTGATCGCCTTAAGAATATCAGCTTTCAGCTTTTTATCACCTTAAGAACATCAACAAGATCAGAGATGTTCAAACTAAAGCAGAGCTGGAGAAACTCATCTACGCCCTTATTCCTAGCAGGATTGACCACTGTAATGGTCTCTTCACTGGCCCTTTTTCCTCTGTAACAACACTTTTTTTCAATCCTAATCTAAGTTTTAGTTTTTAATTTGATTATTTAACTATCCTAATTTCATTTCTAATTTGAATTGAATGATTTTCTCTTTTAAATTTATTGTTTTATTTATGTTTTTAATTATATTTTTCTATTTGCGTTTCCTTTTTTTTTTAACCAACTCTGACTCTGAATTTTTTCATTTGTAAAGCACTCTGAATGACAGCAGTGTTTGAAAGGTGCTCTATAAATAAACTTGCCTTGCCTATTTCACATATAATTCTTTTTCTATATGGCAAAGTTACACTTACATATTTAGGTGGGATGTAGGAGATTTCAGCTTGGACACTTTTGAGCTCCCAGTTGTCATGAGGGCTGCTTAAGCTCCAAGCCCAAGCCATGAATATCAGCCGTGAATCATTATTCCTTCTTCAACACACTTCACAGTAAGCACTCTGAATTTGGACAGATTGTGTTATCCTACATCCATCAAACCCAGATTTGTCTGCCAGACTGCCAGATCAGCCTTTGCTGCTTCAAACAGCTCCTGCCCTGAGGAGGGCTCTGGATCCTGATTCGTCAGTTTCTGCAGAATCAGTTCCAATTGCTGTCACCTGTGAAACAGACACAGCAGGTCCAGAGACGTATTTAATTTTCCTCCAGCAGGAGTTGAGCTGACTTCATTTGCTGTCTCACAAACGCTGAAGGCATAAGTGCTGCTTCTTAGAGTTTGAAATCATGGGCCTGAAACAAATGAAAATTGATCTTCTGTTGGTTCTTGTAGTTGGTTTGTGTAAAGTTCAGTTTTCTGAATGGAAAGAGTTGACACAAGACGAGAAGCCAGCCGTAGCTCAGAGCGTCCCGCAGCCGGTGCAGAAAACTGCGACGGATTTTCTGTTGGGAGATAATTGGCGGCCTATTCAAGCCCCAGTGAAAGTTCAGTCTGAGAAAGTGATGCAGAGCCCAGTGAAGAACCAGACGTCGTATTTTCCCCAAGCTCCAGAGAAGCCTGAACAGCCGAAAATGGATGTGGAGCTGCCGCAGCCTGTGCGCGCTAATAGTGTGGGAGCTGACTGTGGAGAGAATGCAGTGCGTGTGGTAGTTAGGAAGGACTTGTTTGGAATTGGAGCGCCAATAAATCCTTTATCTCTCAGCCTTGGTGGTTGTCCAGCGACAGGAGAAGACTCTGCTGCTCAGATTCTCATCTTTGAATCTGAACTGCAGGCCTGCAGTAGTATGTTAATGGTAGGTCTGACTACAGGTGAAACATGATCATTGCCCTGTGCCACTGTCAAGATTTGTCATGCTGCTTGTGTCCTCCTCCAGATGACTGAGGACGAACTTGTCTACACCTTTACACTTCTCTACGCCCCAGAGCCTTTTGCTGGAACGCCAGTTGTAAGGACAGTTGGTGCTGCAGTTATTATTGAGTGTCACTACATAAGGTAAAGACCAGACTGTAAAGGGTGATCAAGACACCGGTATTTTAGCGGATAGTTTGATTTCACTCAAAACTGCTTTCAGGAAGCACAATGTGAGCAGCAATAGTGTGACACCCACTTGGAAACCGATTAACTCTGCCATGGCTTCTGAGGACGTTCTTGTTTTCTCACTCCGGCTCATGACTGGTTTGTAACATGATCCCATTGTTTGTCAAATGTCTTCTGAATTAATTCCTAAGAATATCTCATGTCTCACAGATGACTGGCAGTTTGAGAGGCGGTCAAATCAATATTTCCTGAGTGACTTGATGAACATTGAAGCCTCGGTGATGCAGTTCAACCATGTACCTCTATGGGTTTTTATGGACAGCTGTGTGGCCACCGCAGAACCTAATGTGAACGCTATCACCAGATATGTTTTCATTGAGAACCATGGGTGAGCGTCTTTTTTTCACTAACCATTCAATTCAATCAACAACTGGCTAATTGTGATGTTCCTACTAGGTGCTTGATTGATGCGAAGATCACAGGCTCCAAGTCTAGGTTTATGCCACGCATTCAGAGGAACAAGCTGCAGCTTCAGTTGGAGGCATTTCGATTTCAGGTCCAGAGTGGTGACGAAGTATGTACATTCAGTTCTACGAGTACACTGTTAGAAATAAAGGTTCTGTGCAGGAACATTTTTCCTTCATCAAGGTACAAACAGTGTAAATGTTCCCTCAAAGCTCCAACAGTGGTTTTAAGGTCTGATTGTGAACCTTAAATAAGTTTTTCCAGGTGAAAAGTTCGTATTTGTACTTTTCATAACCGAACGTTTTAAACAGAACAGTAAAATAAAAGCCTGGAGACGAGACGGGGTGTGTGGAGTCAGTACAGCTTAGAACATATCATTTCAGTGGATTATGGTTCAGTTATGTTCCCTGACTAAAGGTACTGAGACAGACCCTCGAGGGTCCCACCCCACTGACAAGAGGGGCACTGACCCAGAGACAGGTTTACTGCCCTTTTTTTTTTTGAGTAAGCTTGGTTCATAGCCATGTTATGGTGGCCAGACTAATTGTCTTGGCTGCACCAAACAGAAGTACAATTCACTACTTGTTTTATCTGCCAGATCAAACCAATCTCAAATCAGACTAGTGGACTGATTCAGACATGCAGGAAGCTAACAGGGCTAAGCAGTTTGTGGAATAATGAATGTTAACGTCTTTGCAGGTCTACATCACCTGTTTATTAAAGGCTGTGATTGGTCCCTCCCCAACTGATGTGGAGCACAAGGCTTGTTCCTTCTCCTCTAATAGGTGAGTTGTCCTAAAAGATGAACAGCTACACTTGTATTCTGGATTCTAACCCGAGCTGATCTCTTAGGTGGACCTCAGCAGATGCTAACCAGGCAGCGTATGATCAGGTTTGCAGTTGCTGTGACACAAGCTGTAGCTTCAGAAAAGGGAAGAAAATCTCTCGTGATGCAGGTAAGTGCAGAAGTCACAACAGGCATTGACTTCACTACAATTTGCATGTAACTTGAATTTCAACTCTGCCCCCTTCCTGCTCTAGCTCAGTGGTGGGAAAAGAACATCTCTCTTGGCCCTATCTTGGTCAAAGAATAGACCCCTGTCGACTGGCCATAGGATAACAAAATAAAGTTCTTAAACCAGTATTTGATTCTTATTGGTTCTTTTCAGACAGTTAACCTACTAATCACTCACTACAAGTTCTTTAATGCTAGAAATTCACTGGTGGATTGATTGTAAGGGGTTTTTTATGTTCTCATATTGGCCTCTACTGCTAGGATGCAAGCCTAAGTAAAATTTAATGTAATATGATTTTCCCTGCAATACACACAAATGTCAGCAGCCTTGCTTTTTGAAATGCCTGATGTCCCTTTCTTTTTAACTGTTAATCTTTAAAAGCGGGGACTCGGTGCATGATTCAAGGGTTTTGCACTGTGAAAGGGTTCTTTTAGATTGGAGAATGGTTCTAGAGAGAATTTTTGAAAAGGGTTCTATATAGCATCAATAGGGGTTACACTGTTACATGCTAAAGAACCCTTTTTTGGTACTGTATACTATATTTTTGCTAAGATTGTAACTTTAGACCTGGGCCTGTATAAACTAAGCTTCTTAGTGCTGGATTGGGATCAAATTCAGGTTTTATTTGATTTTCTTACGGAGAGGAACAGATCCTAGACCAACACTCAGAATCTTTGAATACGGCCCCAGATACCATAGTGCAAATTGTTGGTAATATTTTATGAATTACAACTGAACTTTTTTCTTGAACAGATAACTGTTTTATTATACCTGAATTTAAACTTCACAGGGTGTGTGTTTGTTTGTTTTATGTGAATAACTCATCCATGGATAAACATGTACCATAGGGAAAAGTTGGTACATGCATTTTTTTCCCCCAAATAAGGAATTGGAAAGATCAGCAAACATTTATTTATGCATTTATTTAGTTCATTTAATTCAGCTTGTTTGAGTGTAAGCTGAGTATTACTGGCAATCAAACCTCATTACTGTAGACTGATACAAAAACAACATGTATACTTGGTTTGATGCCTATAGAGTTACTTGGTCATAGTAACTGGACACCTGCAAATAACTTCTTCTCTCATATACCAAACACTGTCACATTAGCATGGATAGGGGACATTTCAGGACTATTCAACTGGGTGGTCTCAATCTCAAACATTCTGCCTGGACAGGTGTGGTTTCTAAGCCCATATGGAAAAAAAAAAAAGCCAAATGTATTTATCAAATACAGCCACATTTCCAAAAAAGTTGGGATGCTGTGCCAAATGTAGATAAAAATAAAATGCAATAATATGCAAATCATGTTTTTGAAGGAAAATACTACAAAGACAACATATCAAATGTTGAAACTGAGAAATTGTATTGTTTTTTGAAAAATATATGCCCATTTTAAATTTGATGCCAACAACACGTTCAAAAAAAGTTGGGACGGGGGCCTGTTTACCACTGTGTTTCATCACCTCTTCATTTAACAACACTGTAAGCATTTGGGAACTGAGGAGACACTGCTGTAGTTCTGAAAGTGAAATGTTTTCCTGCTCTTGTTTGATACAGGATTTTAGCTGCTCAACAGTTCAGGGTCTCCTTTATTGTATTTTTCATTTCATAATGTGCCAAATGTTTTCAGTGGTGACAGGTCTGGACTGCAGACAGGCCTGTTTAGCACATGGACTCTTTTAATACAGAGTCATGCTGTTGTAATACATGCAGAATGTGGTTTGACATTGCTTTGTTGAAATAAGCAAGACCTTCCCTGAAAAAGACGTCGTCTGGATGGCAGCATATATGGCCAAAATATGTAAATATTGTGCATGTCACCCATGCCATGTGCACTAATGCCCCCCTACACCATCATGAATACTGGCTTTTGAACTGTGCACAAACAGAGTGGTCTTTAGCCCGGAGGACGCAGTGTCCATGATTTCCAAAAAGAATTTCAAATGTTGATTCATCTGACCACAGGACACTTTTCCACTTCACCTCAGTCCATTTTAAATTAGCTTAGCCCCAGAGAAGGTGGCAGCATTTCTGGATCCTGTTTATGTACAGTTTCTTCTTTGTGGTGCTATATAGGCCTCATTTAACCAGCTGTGATGTCATAAAACATTCTCTGACCACCCAAAAATGTCACCAGGTAGAGGCCCACCAATTATTTGTGCCAATTAGGACTCCCCCAATCACGATACCACCAGCGCTAGGAGGGTGAAGGCAAACACGAGTTTCCTCCGAATCATGTGAAGCCAGCTACCTCATCTGGTCAAACTGCCACTAACGCCAAATCATTTCATGCTAACCAACAGTTCTGTTATGTCAGCTAACAGACATCTGCGCTGGCTGGCATCGAAGTGATTGAGGGAGAGGATGGGCCATTCTACCCACACATATTCTAGTTTTCTGTTGCTGCTTGTGATACAAAACATAATTTTGATATTTGAGTCATTTCAAGTGCTACATTGGTTGTGTAACCCAAGCACAAGAATCTAGATTGAGTGACCTTTATTAGTCCCAAAGCAGGGAAATTTCACCTCCGCATTTAACCCATCTGTGCAGTGAAACACCACATACACACTGGTACATACATGCTTGCCCAGAGTGGTGGGCAGCCCTATCCGCAGCCCGGGGAGCAGTTGGAGGTTAGGTTCCTTGTTCAAGGGCACTTAAGTCACATACTATTAGCTCAGAGGATTGAAGCTTCTGGTCTCAGGGTGGGTTCCCTAACCTCCAGCCCATGACTGCCCCCTAGATAATCTAGATAATGAATCATGCCATTCTACACTCAGTTTGATTTGGACTGTATGTTCATGACCCAGTCAGAGGAACAAACAGTGATCTGATCCAGACACACTGCACATAAAATGTTAGTCAGCTCTTCTTAGAGAAATGCCCAAACCATAATAACTACCAATGTATGTGTTTTTTATTTATTTTGAGTTCTAAGATGGGCAGTTATTTCTAAGGTGGCAGCTGACACCATAACTCATGTAGCCATGTCCTTGCTTTTTTCCAGTGGATGGGTCATCTTGGCTGCCATCCTAAATCCATTAAAAAAAGTATGGTCTTCCAGATGTTCATTTTAATGAACTCTTTTTCTGATGGAGGCTGTACATGGAACCATCTGACTGCATAGATACTATATCAAGATCTCTCAGTACTCCCCACATTACAGCTTCACATCATTCAGCTAATAGGTGAAAAACAATGATCATTGCCTCAACCACCTAATGAAAAGCTAAAAAGCCCCATCTATTCAGCATTAACTTGGTGGGAAAGCAGATGCATAATGCAAATATAATAGAACAGAAACATCACTGCCAAAGCCAGGTGCCCAAACCCCCTCAACCATGTTGAAAATAAATTAATAAAGAACAGCCTCAGGCAGCATCCCCAGGCAAATTTCCCCCATCATCTATGAGTTTGCTGGCTTGAAGACAGACTTGCTCATTAGCTACATTAACCTTCTACTATAAAAGGCAACCAAAGAAGCCAAGCGTCAGAATCATGTCTTGGCAAGCGGATTCACGAATCCAAAGTGATCAGTACATGGGATGAGGTCAAGCCACAACTTGCAATATCCTTTGCAGGAAAGGACAGCACAGCAACTTTGTTCCACATTTCCCTTTCAGACAATTGGCTTTGCTCAGAGTTAAGGCAGCTTCAGTCCCTTTCTGTTGCAGGGTTACTGAGTCACCTTGAGAAGTAGCATTTAAGAAACTTGCTGCACTAGCAACTGCACCCAAATGTAAGCCATTTGTTTACTACCATCATACACTATTTCAAGATCAGGGCAAAGACTCATGACACTATGTGAAGGCAAGATGTTTTTATTTGACAAGATTTAGATTTCCTTGAGGGTGAGGTGGTACATGTTTAGGGCTTCTTTGTGAAGATGACTTCTCCACTAGACACTACAGTCGATTCATGCAAAGACTTCCGTCCTGCTGCGGCAACATCCCTTCCTGTGGGGCAAATAAATACATAAATAAATCCAAGCAGGGAGGGAAGAACCCTAGTCTCCCCCACACAGATTCTACTTACTTTGCCTGCTGCATCTTGGTTCACAGGAGTCAGCTGCAGTTAACTGACACACTGATGTGCTACAGTGGATGAACACCTGGAAAGAGAACAAGGAACTAAGCAACAGCCCCCTTGTCTTCATGAACAAGGTTATCAGAAATGGAGCCTTACCCTCTCTTGCAAGGGAGCCATGGAGGCAGGATCCACAAATGTGAACATCTTCAGGACAAAGCGCTTGTAATGGCTGGGGAACTGAAGTCCAGACGACCCATCAACTGGAATGGGAGTAGTCAGGTAGCGGTCATCCTGGTATGGGCACCTGTGGAGAAACCCAGGTCATCACTATGCCTGTATTAAAGCACTAGACCAGAGGTACCCAATCCTGGTCCTAGAGCTCTAGCACCTTGCAGAGATCACATCCAACCCTAAACCTGAGCCAGAGAATCAAGGCCTTCATGTGTGTTGGATCTGAACTCTCCAGGACCAGGATTGAGCACCCCTGCACTAGACATGCATCCAACTCACCCATCCACCAGAAGGTCCCACTGAGGAATGCTGAAGGGGTCAGGGGAAGAGGTCGCCCAGCAGCGCCCCAAGACCAGCGCAATATTGGGATCTGTCCTCCCCAACATGCGCACTTCAACATACACAGGCTCCCTCAGAACCTTAGTCACAGGGTAGTCAGCATCACTGTAGTACGATGTATAGGCTGCTTGTGCTGTTGAGAATCAGGATTCATTGTAAGCACCAGAGACAAGTCAAAAGCTCACAACTGTCCAGACAGGAGTAGCTTACCTTGCACACAGCCCTTTGTGACACACTGACCACTGCCTAGTCTTAGTTCTACCATGAGGGGTCCAGAAGCAGCTACAGGCAGAGGAGGATTATTGGGGATAAGCTGAACAGCCAGGGCTGCAACGGTTGTATCAGCATACCTACACTGGAAGTAAAGCCTGGCAAAGGAAGTGAGACATTAGCAGAAGCCCTTGAATTAACATCTACTAATGACTTGGGTTTCCACTCACTCATAGTGGCTGTCTCTTGTGATCGCACCAAGCGGACCCACTCCAACTTCATAGGAGGACGACATTTTGTTCTCATAGACCACATAGTCACCCAGCTCCTGGAGAAAGAACAAACATAGCACACATTGAGAGCACCAATACAAAACAAACCCCATCCACCTGAACGCTGAACACCTCAGAAACCAACCATTGCTCTCGTGCCACAAGCAGTTACAGGAAACTGGTAGATAGCAAAGTCAGCATTGGAATCCACAGCACTGCAGGGGGCATCACTTCCTCCCAACAGGCTGATTGAATCCAGGCTCAGTCTGGGTAGTGTTGTATCCCTGGCCACCACCAACACAAACTGGCCATCTATTGTGCACTGGACGGTCACTAGAAACAAGAAGGGAAGAGATTTTATAGTTTGCACTTTTAGCTACTAGAAATGAAGTTAAAATCACCACATGAAGACAAACTCTTACCAGTTCTCCCATAGTAGCACTGCTGCCCATCAAAACAGCAGTTTATAGCACCACACTGAGCAGCATCTAGACCAGGTTCCCCACAAGGAACCTTGTCAACATCATCCACTCTACATTTCTCACCACTGATCACTGGTTGTTGAGGATCACGTGGAACAGGAAACTGAGGGAGAGGCTGTTTTGCTGCTTGTGGATTCCATGGAGATACTGCTGTAATGCCCAAACAGTTCAAGTGCACAGTAAGAGCCACCAAAACTATACTAGCCCACATTTTTACCACAGTCTCCAAACTACTTATGCCAACAAGTAGCTTTGGACCCCCACATTCACCTTTTTATTCTCTTCTCCCTTCTAATTGTGCAAAGCCCCTCCTCCCACTCTATTAGCCATCAATTATGTTCCAGCCCTGTGCAGTTTTGACCTGTTCTCACATTTTGCCAGACAACAATTAGCAAAGGGTGTATGTTAAAGACCTCTGTAGATCAGAGTACTGCACAGGTAATCAGTCATTTTAGGGTGTCTCAGTGTCAAAATCATTCCAGTGCACCATAAAAATCAGTAAGCACTGATTATTTGCTGTGTTCTCTGACTGGAAATAGCTTCACTCTCCAGCTCACCTTTCAGAAAGTTTTGAAATAAAATACAAAATCTGTGTTTTATCTTACTTGCTGTTTCACCTTGAAACAAGTATTATGTTTGCATTTTTCATACCTGTGAATAAAAAAACTACGAACATTAACCTTCACTGAAAAATCAGATGTAATGTTAGTTAAATATTAACTGTATGCTTAGTCATCGGAGTCTAATTGTAAACAAAATGAGAATGTTCATTAAATGATGTTATATTCTATCTTCAGAATAACAGCATTGCTAAGCACAGCACAGCAGGATGAGCTTCCCTGTTAATACTGTTGGTACTGTCTCCATATCCATCACCACCTAGCCAGTGCCTGAATTCATATTTACTGCTGATTTACTTATCAAATTGAAACACATCCAATATTTTTGCATAGAGGGTCAAAACCCTTATCTGATGTGTCATGACTGAACATTCAATAGTGTTATCTTATACTTGGCAACACTGAAACTTCAGGCATTCTTCTTTTCCTTTAATACTAGTCGCTAGTCCACCCTGAAAGTTACTGCTGTTTCCTACTGATCCTCCTCCTCCTCTTCCTCCTCTGTGAACCATTTTTTAACGACGTTATCTTAACAGCTGTCTGAATACTGGAGGGGACAAAAAAATTAAAATACCCACTAAAGCGGCTTCCAGCGGTGGATACACCAGTGAATGCTAGCAAGGAAGACTTTTACGGATTTTAGAATGACATCACTGCAACGAGCCCAGAGAGCATAGACAAACACGGGGTAATCCAGCTGCACTCTAAATTCTGTGTTATGTTTGTGTTTATATCTTCTTTTTATTGTGTACTTTGTACTTGGTGCAAAAACAAACGAACAAAAAAAGAAAACCAAATAACAGAAAATAAAGAGTAAAAAAAATCACAAACAAAAAAATAAATAGTAGAAAATCACACAAATGTGAATCGGCTGGCTCTGTGTAGATGTATTCGGGATGGGCTTTCAAACAAACGCTGTGGTGGGCTCAGTTCATCGGTAGTCGACATCAACTGTGAGGATGCTGACAGGAGTCAGCTGTCCCATTTCTCCAATTTCTGCTTGTTCTCTCCGTTCCTCCTGCACTTTTGCTCTATTCGATTCCTCTGTGTTCTTGGACCAGCCAAGGACTTTGCTTCCAGAGTGAGGAAACACATGGGCTGTATCCAGAAAGTTTTAGGGACAAGTACAGCATCATTAGCTAAGCTGTGGTTTAGAGTTTAAACTGCTGACATAAATTAAAGTCACCTGATCCTGATTACATTACAGTTAAATTAGAGTCACTGGAGCCTGAATTCAAAATGCTATGAGAAGCAAATGTGTAAATCTTAGATATTTGAATATACTGAATCTGAATTCACCTCTGTGAAATAAAAAGGTTAAAAAATCACTCTTCAAACATTTGGGTTACAAAAATTCTAACTGTACAAAATGCAGCACCTCTTCATTACATGGCAGTGAAATTCAGGATGCAAAATCACAAGACAGCCCATAAGTCATTGATCACTATATATCTAAGCCATTCCAGTGACCTATGTGGTGCTGCATTCTGTGCATTTAGAATTTTTAAATTTAGAATTGTGGAGTACTGAGCAAGTTTCATGTCGGCTTATGATTTAAATATGTCGATAATAAATCTTTTGCCACATGGTTTTAGTTGATTTGTTTTAATTACAAGTTATGGAAATTAAAAAAAGCATTACACACAGTTAGGCTGGAATAAACTAGGCTGTTATTATGTGCCGTGAGTATCAATGAACTGTAGGAAGACAATTTGAACATTTTGATCTTTGAATTGAATTGTACATTGAAGGCATTGCAAGCAATTTTGATGTTTATGGACAGAAATCCTAAAAAAAAATCCTTTTTATTCAGCGTCTTATTTCCATTTTTGCAGATATTGACATAATTTGACAGTACGTTACTGGTTTACAATATGTTTAAGCCCTGAAGTTTACTGGTTTAGCCAAATCTGATTAAACTGCTGCTAAGCCAATGACAGTGCAATCGCCCCAAGGCACTGGAGGTTGATCGTTCCTTGAGAAGGTTTATGTGCATATCAGTAGTCACAACCTGGAACAACCCTCACCTGATAATGTAATTCCTGTAGGTTTCACCTCAGACTCAAATATAACACACCTCATCCACAATCGCAAATGACTCTCCACTTTCTATTTAATGTTCTAGAATAGCTTTTACAACAGGCGTGCACAACTCTGGACCTGGAGGGTTGGTGTGTAGTACCACACCTAATCCAACTAAGCAGCTACTATTTGTATGGTGAAACCATCATTTTAGGACCGATGGAGTGCACTATGTAGGATGCAGGATGCCATATGAGATTCTGAAGGCAATAATTAGATGGGTGAGGTGGAGTCCATTAGTGTTGGAAGGTTGATGACTACTATATATCTCTGTATGTCTCTTCACAGAAATTATAAATTGGTGTTGTTGATTACTGCAGATTGCAAGTGGTAAATTCATCAAAAATGTGGCAACAAATGATCTAAACATAAACATTTGTGGCATTAGATCAAATGTATTGCTGGGAAGCTTTTATCAAATGTATCACACATTTTAAAAATGACAACAGACTCTCATAGCCTGACCACAAGCAGGACACCAGGTCCTATTTCTAGACTCTTTTTTATTTCACACAGAACAGTAGACTCACTCTTGTTTCAGGGAAATAAAAAAAATGGTTGGAATTTTTACAGCAGCACAGACAGAGGTTTTGACTTTCCATGCCTAAAAACAAAGAGGATGATCTTAACCCATGTTACCACAGGAAAGTGTCCGCAGCACCTACGCAGGTCAAAACTGCACAGGGCTGGAACATAATTGATGGCTAATAGAGTGGGAGGAGGGGCTTTTCACAATTAGGAGGGAGAAGAGAATAAAAAGGTGAATGTGGGGGTCCAAAGCTACTTGTTGGCATAAGTAGTTTGGAGACTGTGGTAAAAATGTGGGCTAGTATAGTTTTGGTGGCTCTTACTGTGCACTTAAACTGTTTGGGCATTACAGCAGTATCTCCATGGAATCCACAAGCAGCAAAGCAGCATCTCCCTCAGTTTCCTGTTCCACGTGATCCTCAACAACCAGTGATCAGTGGTGAGAAATGTAGAGTGGATGATGTTGATAAGGTTCCTTGTGGGGAACCTGGTCTAGATGCTGCTCAGTGTGGTGCTATAAACTGCTGTTTTGATGGGCAGCAGTGCTACTATGGGAGAACTGGTAAGAGTTTGTCTTCATGTGGTGATTTTAACTTCATTGCTAGTAGCTAAAAGTGCAAACTATAAAATCTCTTCCCTTCTTGTTTCTAGTGACCGTCCAGTGCACAATAGATGGCCAGTTTGTGTTGGTGGTGGCCAGGGATACAACTCTACCCAGACTGAGCCTGGATTCAATCAGCCTGTTGGGAGGAAGTGATGCCCCCTGCAGTGCTGTGGATTCCAATGTTGACTTTGCTATCTACCAGTTTCCTGTAACTGCTTGTGGCACAAGAGCAATGGTTGGTTTCTGAGGTGTTCAGCGTTCAGGTGGATGGGGTTTGTTTTGTATTGGTGCTCTCAATGTGTGCTATGTTTGTTCTTTCTCCAGGAGCTGGGTGACTATGTGGTCTATGAGAACAAAATGTCGTCCTCCTATGAAGTTGGAGTGGGTCCGCTTGGTGCGATCACAAGAGACAGCCACTATGAGTGAGTGGAAACCCAAGTCATTAGTAGATGTTAATTCAAGGGCTTCTGCTAATGTCTCACTTCCTTTGCCAGGCTTTACTTCCAGTGTAGGTATGCTGATACAACCGTTGCAGCCCTGGCTGTTCAGCTTATCCCCAATAATCCTCCTCTGCCTGTAGCTGCTTCTGGACCCCTCATGGTAGAACTAAGACTAGGCAGTGGTCAGTGTGTCACAAAGGGCTGTGTGCAAGGTAAGCTACTCCTGTCTGGACAGTTGTGAGCTTTTGACTTGTCTCTGGTGCTTACAATGAATCCTGATTCTCAACAGCACAAGCAGCCTATACATCGTACTACAGTGATGCTGACTACCCTGTGACTAAGGTTCTGAGGGAGCCTGTGTATGTTGAAGTGCGCATGTTGGGGAGGACAGATCCCAATATTGCGCTGGTCTTGGGGCGCTGCTGGGCAACCTCTTCCCCTGACCCCTTCAGCATTCCTCAGTGGGACCTTCTGGTGGATGGGTGAGTTGGATGCATGTCTAGTGCAGGGGTGCTCAATCCTGGTCCTGGAGAGTTCAGATCCAACACACATGAAGGCCTTGATTCTCTGGCTCAGGTGTGTTGGATTAGGGTTGGAGCTGAACTCTGCAGGGTGGTTGATGTCCAGGATTGGGTTCCCCTGGTCTAGTGCTTTAATAGAGGCATAGGGTTGACCTGGGCTTCTCCACAGGTGCCCATACCAGGATGACCGCTACCTGACTACTCCCATTCCAGTTGATGGGTCGTCTGGACTTCAGTTCCCCAGCCATTACAAGCGCTTTGTCCTGAAGATGTTCACGTTTGTGGATCCTGCCTCCATGGCTCCCTTGCAAGAGAGGGTAAGGTTCCATTTTTGATAACCTTGTTCATGAAGACAAGGGGGCTGTTGCTTAGTTCCTTGTTCTTTTTCCAGGTGTTCATCCACTGTAGCACATCAGTGTGTCAGTTAACTGCAGCTGACTCCTGTGAACCAAGATGCAGCAGGCAAAGTAAGTAGAATCTGTGTGGGGCATAGTAGGGTTCTTCCTCTTTGTTTGTTTTATTTATTTATTTATTTATGTATTTATTTATGTATTTATTTGCCCCACAGGAAGGGATGTTGCTGTAGCAGGACGGAAGTCTTTGCATGAATCGACTGTAGTGTCTAGTGGAGAAGTCATCTTCACAAAGAAGCCCTAAACATGTACCACCTCACCCTCAAGGAAATCTAAATCTTGTGGAATAAAGATGACTTTGAATACTATAACAAGTTTTTGACTTGATGGTGAAATGCAGTGTATGATGGTAGTAGCAAAGGGCCAACACTGTGCAGTTGCCTGTGCAAGTTTCCTAAATGCTACTTTAAGGCAACAGCAGGAGACGGGGAAAGAAACTGCCTTAATTTTGAGCAGAGCCATGCATCTCAAATGAAGGATGGAAATTGAGTAGCTCTGCTATCCTTTAATGCAAAGGATATTGCTGCAAGTTGCAGCTTGACCCCACCCAGTGTACTGAGCACCTCTTTTGATTCATGTCTGTGGGGTGAAGGCACCCTGCTTTAGCAGTAATGATGTTTCCACATGGTTTTTTCAGGTGCACATGCTTCTCTTCCACTCGAAGCTATGCTTTGGAATACAACTTGATCTGCTATTGCAATGCCTGTTATTATAAGCCCCAAAATTAAAATTAATTGGCTTGTAGCAGGGTCTGTACCACAAAAGATGGGTAAGGATCATTTTAGGTAAAATGCTGAAATATGAGTGATCAAAGATTGTGATTAAACTACCAGTGTTCATCCTCACACCTTTTCAGCAATGCAGTTCTGGAGCTGAACGTCACTTACAGTCAGAGGAAACTTGTTTGCCTTGCTCTCCTAGCACTAGTGGTATCATGATGGGGGGGGTCCTAATTAGTGGAATTGCATATGACTAAATTGATGAGAAAATTGGGAAAACCTGGGCAGTGAAGTCCCAGGCCTGGATTATCAAGTTGTTGGTTCTTGGGCACAAATCTTTGGTGGGCCCTACCTGGCCACCTTTTTTGGGTGGTCAGGGAATGTTTTGTATCATAGCTACTTAAATACATTAATATCTGTCTGCAGAGCTGCAGTTTCAAGCCAGTGGCATACAGCGCATGTGCTGACACTTGCTTTTTGACAATTGTCATTTTATATGGGTTCAATAATAAATTTGATACATTTGCATTGGACTAAGGTTACATTTTAACCTTTAGGCTAAAAACCTTTTTTTAACTTACTCCTGCTGACAAAATCTATAGAGATCATTGAGTGTTTTCATTTCTGATGTTTCATAATGTGTTTTGGCTTTTGGTTTAAGCGGTTACCAGTGGTTGATCTGTATATTGGCAACAGTATCCTGAATGGTAATATGCATGACAACACGTACATGCAGCATAAACAGTCGCTGTTTACAGCAGAGACATTATGAATGAGGAGAGCGGCCACTGCTTGAAATATGAACAGAAACGATCATAAAGCTCAACTTTTCTATAAGGATTTTGTTTACGTGGCACAATCGCGCTGTCCTCCTGCATGAGCTCCACTGGCCTGAAACCTCTGGAGTGAAACAGTGGGTGTAAATCTGAAGACAGACGTCTCGTCAAATAAGGACTGTATGGCACTATGATGGCTGTAAATGTAGTGGCACGTCGTCAGAGCACATTTTTTCCATCGAAATAGAAAGATTATGCACACTTCACTATAAAGTATGCGTCCACTCTTCACAAGCACCATGTTTACCCCATTAAAGACAAAAGTTTAAAATCTGAGAGCTGAGATGTACATAAGAAAGACGAGAAGCACCAGCAAATTTAAAAACCCAAACCGTCAAGCATCCTAAAGCTGGGCCTGATTTTAACTCTGATTTTTCCCCATGTGACAAATTTTCACAATCTGAAGTGATTTTCCAGGTCGGGAGCTTGATCGGAAGCATCTGACAGCATTGATGATCTGGCAGTGTGAGAGGAGAAACAAGTGTCGTCAGCCCTCCGATTGATCAGTGAAGTGTTCGGAGGTCCTCCGAAGTCATCCAGCATAATTTATATTTACGACTCCAAACACTCACGACTGCTGTAGTGTGAGAAGGTCTGAGATGTCATCAGTGACTCAACCAATGGCCAATCAGTGAGGTTGTGATGCTCTTTGTTTTAGAAATCTGCCATGATTTGATATCTTGTGTATTTAAAACATATTTTCTTTTCACATACATATAACAGTTAAAGCAAAGTACAGTGCAAAATAAATATCAATTCTGTTTATTCAGTTCATGTTTATTTCATTATGTCTGTAATCTTTGTTAAAACTACACACAATTCAAAAAATATGAAAGACATTTTAGAAACATATTTAACCTTTTTTTGGCCATTTTATTTTCATATGGGCTTGCAAAGCAGACTTCAGGCTATGGTCCACACCTGTCTGGGCAGAGTGTTTGAGACTGAAATGCATGTTAATGTGACAGTGTTGTGTCCACTCACTGTCCACTCTATTAGACACTCCCACCTTGTCAGTCCACCTTGTAGATGTAAACTCAGAGACGATAGCTCATCTGCTGCTGCACAGTTTGTGTTGGTCATCCTGTAGTCCTTCATCAGTGGTCACAGGACGCTGCCCACAGGACGCTGCCCACAGGACGCTGTTGGCTGGATTTTTTTGGTTGGTGGACTATTCTCAGTCCAGCAGTGACACTGAGGTGTTAAAAAACTCCAGCAGCACTGCTGTGTCAGATCCACTCGCACCAGCGCAACACACACTAACACACCACCACCACGTCACTGTTACTGCAGTGCTGAGAATGACCCACCACCCAAATAGTACCTGCTCTGTGAGGGTCCATGGGGGTCCTGACCACTGAAGAACAGGGTAAAAGGGGGCTAACAAAGTATGCAGAGAAACAGATGGACTACAGTCTGTAACTGTAGAACTACAAAGTGCACCTATATAGTAAGTGGAGCTGATAAAATGGACAATGAGCATAGAAACAAGGAGGTGGTCAGAATGTTATGCCTCATCGGTGTATAGACCGTCATTTTTTGACCAATGGAGGGCACTATATAGGATGTAGGATGCCATATGAGGTTCAGCCAAGACCTTCTGAAGGCAATAATTAGATGGGTGAGGTGGGGTCCATTAGTGTTGGAAGGTTGATGACTACTATATATCTCTGTATGTCTCTTCACAGAAATTATAAATTGGTGTTGTTGATTACTGCAGATTGCAAGTGGTAAATGAACCAAAAATGTGGCAACAAATGATCAAAACATAAACATTTGTGGCATTAGATCAAATGTATTGCTGGGAAGCTTTTATCAAATGTATCACACATTTTAGAAATGACAACAGACTCTCATAGCCTGACCACAAGCAGGACACCAGGTCCTATTTCTAGACTCTTTTTTATTTCACACAGAACAGTAGACTCACTCTTGTTTCAGAGAAATAAAAAATGGATGGAATTTTTACAGCAGCACAGACAGAGGTTTTGACTTTCCATGCCTAAAAACAAAGAGGATGATCTTAACCCACGTTACCACAGGAAAGTGTCCGCAGCACCTACGCAGGTCAAAACTGCACAGGGCTGGAACATAATTGATGGCTAATAGAGTGGGAGGAGGGGCTTTGCACAATTAGGAGGGAAAAGAGAATAAAAAGGTGAATGTGGGGGTCCAAAGCTACTTGTTGGCATAAGTAGTTTGGAGACTGTGGTAAAAATGTGGGCTAGTATAGTTTTGGCAGCTCTTACTGTGCACTTGAACTGTTTGGGCATTACAGCAGTATCTCCATGGAATCCACAAGCAGCAAAACAGCCTCTCCCTCAGTTTCCTGTTCCACGTGATCCTCAACAACCAGTGATCAGTGGTGAGAAATGTAGAGTGGATGATGTTGACAAGGTTCCTTGTGGGGAACCTGGTCTAGATGCTGCTCAGTGTGGTGCTATAAACTGCTGTTTTGATGGGCAGCAGTGCTACTATGGGAGAACTGGTAAGAGTTTGTCTTCATGTGGTGATTTTAACTTCATTGCTAGTAGCTAAAAGTGCAAACTATAAAATCTCTTCCCTTCTTGTTTCTAGTGACTGTCCAGTGCACAATAGATGGCCAGTTTGTGTTGGTGGTGGCCAGGGATACAACACTACCCAGACTGAGCCTGGATTCAATCAGCCTGTTGGGAGGAAGTGATGCCCCCTGCAGTGCTGTGGATTCCAATGCTGACTTTGCTATCTACCAGTTTCCTGTAACTGCTTGTGGCACAAGAGCAATGGTTGGTTTCTGAGGTGTTCAGCGTTCAGGTGGATGGGGTTTGTTTTGTATTGGTGCTCTCAATGTGTGCTATGTTTGTTCTTTCTCCAGGAGCTGGGTGACTATGTGGTCTATGAGAACAAAATGTCGTCCTCCTATGAAGTTGGAGTGGGACCGCTTGGTGCGATCACAAGAGACAGCCACTATGAGTGAGTGGCAACACAATCACATGGATATTCACTTATGGCAGGGCTGTCTGGCCTTACCTGAAAAGCCGTGGCTGTTGCTTTTCATTCTAACAAAGCAGGAGTTGTTTGAAGAGTACAACTAGGTGTGCTCCTGCTTATTTGGAATGAGAACCTCTATCCACACAGCCCTTTGCAGATGAGTGGACACCTGCTTATGAGGTTTTTACAGCTCTCCCTTTTCCTTTTGCCAGGCTTTACTTCCAGTGTAGGTATGCTGATACAACCGTTGCAGCACTGGCTGTTCAGCTTGTCCCCAATAATCCTCCTCTGCCTGTAGCTGCTTCTGGACCCCTCATGGTAGAACTAAGACTAGGCAGTGGTCAGTGTGTCACAAAGGGCTGTGTGCAAGGTAAGCTACTCCTGTCTGGACAGTTGTGAGCTTTTGACTTGTCTCTGGTGTTTACAATGAATCCTGATTCTCAACAGCACAAGCAGCCTATACATCGTACTACAGTGATGCTGACTACCCTGTGACTAAGGTTCTGAGGGAGCCTGTGTATGTTGAAGTGCGCATGTTGGGGAGGACAGATCCCAATATTGCGCTGGTCTTGGGACGTTGCTGGGCAACCTCTTCCCCTGACCCCTTCAGCATTCCTCAGTGGGACCTTCTGGTGGATGGGTGAGTTGGATGCATGTCTAGTGCAGGGGTGCTCAATCCTGGTCCTGGAGAGTTCAGATCTAACACGCATGAAGGCCTTGATTCTCTGGCTCAGGTGTGTTGGATTAGGGTTGGAGCTGAACTCTGCAGGGTGGTTGATGTCCAGGATTGGGTTCCCCTGGTCTAGTGCTTTAA